AGATATAATAGAATTCAGTTTTTAGTTTTTCTGACAATATAAAAAGCAAAGAGATTTTTTTTTTGAGATGACTGACTAGGTGTGCAGTTATTTGTGTTTAATTATCACGTTAATTGTTCTTGCTTTTTTAAAAGACCTGTTGCAAACGGTTCAAAAGTTATTTTTGAATTTCCCAGTTTGGTTGAGATTTGGATTTTTTTTTAATATCAAAACTCCAATCATCTAGATTTTACATTTTGCAAATTAATAAAACGGAACGAATCTTTACGCTATATGCAAATTTCAGCTTTTTCCTTGGTGTTAAATAAAATCTGTATCTCTTCTTTCCTATTTTCAGGTTTACTCAGCGAATTATCCAGTTTAGAACACAATTGGTAACAAAAAATAGATTTGCATATACTAGTCTTAACAAAATTGTCTGTTTAAATTTAAATTCGGCTCCTAATTAAAATGTTTTACATCAAAACACGAAAATAGATTCTGATAGTTTATTAAAGTCATTTAAAGTCTKTYTAAAGGAGTCTAACTTRGTATTTGTATGTGTTAATTCCATTGAATTTTGCAATGTTTCGAAAYAGGGTGAACTAAATACATCATATCTTTTAAGATTAATGAATGCCCACCRATGTTTTTCATGTTTTGATAACTAGAGACATAGATCTAATTAAGAAACAGTCATTTTTATAAAAATYGATGTGCACTTGTGAGATATTGACTTCAAAACTACACGAATTTTCAATAAATTCAAAATTTGGAATTTTTGTGTTCAGTCATATGGTTGCTATGCCAACACATTGACAGATATTTCCATCTCTGTGTCTGATATCGCTAACTGAGATGTTTAACTTGTATGTCAAAAAGTTTGAGGTTGCTGTGAATAACATTTGCACTTTTATGCTTCTGCAAAGTTAAGGTTAATTTGTTCAATTTCTGTGCTTAAATGATCATTTTCTAGGGGGGGAGGGGGGGGGCTAACTTCCCTCCTAATGACTGATCCCAAAAAAAATTAGAATATTAAATAACTTACTAAATGCAAAAAGTATGCCAAGTTTCAGCATAATCGGCTGACCCCTATGTAGCACCTACTGCCTGGTTTTAAAAAAAGCTGAACTTCTGAAATTGCCTTTCATTTAATTCAGACAAAAAGGTAAATTGCAATTTGATAGGTTGTTTTGAAGTCACTTGGGTCACTGAGATCAGAGCTAGTGTACATATAACAACATGAAAATGGATTCTCTGATTTCTTGATAATCTTGAAAGCCTTTCTAAGACCCAAACAGTCATCTGTGTACCCACTTGAAGAAGCAAGACCTTCCAATCTTCAATTAAGTCAGGCACAGCGTTTTATCATCAGTATGTATTAGACTCCCACCACCATCAGAACGAAGCTTTAGATTGACCAAGAAAACAAATACAAAGAATTGTAGGATTATGTCAGACAATGGCTATTGTTCTACTGGACATCTTCATTTTTGTATTGAATGCAATTCTTTGTTATTTCATCCAATCACAATCTTTGTTCTAACAGTGGTGTATAACCCTCCTCCAAGGCATCACTAAGAGTTATGGGCTTCCTGTCTTTTTCTGGGAGCCAAGTGGGGGCCAATRGGAGCAAATGAGCTTTGAAAGGRAGCTTGAACACCAGCATTGTGTCAAGAATAGAAGGGATTTATATTTCTAAAAAAAAACAGCTCTTGAATATTTTCTTTAGATTTTGAGACTATTGAGGACTATTGACAGACACAGTGTAAAAGAAACAGCCCATCACCATTATTTTTCCTCTTGTTCTAATTCACCTAACATTAGTTGCCCAGGTTGTTCAAGTCCTTGATAGACTTTATAATAAACAATACTTGAATCTGATTCACAAATGCCTAGAATTACTCCTGGATTACCAGACAAGTCGAGGTCGAGTTCCTTGCAGCATGTCGAAATCTCGCTGACAATACTCCGTAAATCGTCAACACTGAACTCTGTTTCAACACAAACAGGTACAACAGCCTCCTTCTTTGCTTTCTTGCGAGGTTTGCCAGTAATRAAGACGCGTTTTAATGAGTCACAAGGGTGAATTTCGACTTCAAACCAATGCTTGCGTTCACACAGCTCAAGATAAACCAACATGGCGGTTCTCGATGAAGATGGATTGTATTTGTCGAATCCGTTGGATAAAATTTGTTGAAACTTCGGATGTTCATTGAACCAATTGCTTCTAGAAGTCATGAGTTTGCAGTCAAATAAATGATTTGAAATTCGTCCTTAACAAAGATGAACAAAACAAAAACAGTTATTGCAAGGCGTTCCTTGCCAGCGAAACAGGAAGCCCGATCCTGCTGGAATGACTACACAGGAATACCAAAATAAATCGATTTTATTTGTAATTTAATATAAATGAATTCCTTCTCTTTCTATGTAGTTATGATATCTTTGCAACAAACAAAGTTGTCCTATGTCTCTGTTAGTCAAAATTTGTGATCGGTTTCATTCAGGTGTTTGCTAGTTCAATTGTAACTCGTGCAGGTGGCTTGTTAATAATTTATGAACGCAGTCCGCTGGTACAGTATTATTTCATTGAAATAAATTCAAATTCTTCGGGTAAAATCCTAATTTTCTCTCTCAAATCGCTATTTCTTTWCTGGGGTGTCGTTCTTATGAATATTTTAACAAATATAGACGAAAACGTTTCCAATCTATTTGGACCAATGAGAATCGAGCATTGACATCACCGAAATCGTTTGGTCATGCGCGTGGATCGACAAAATTACATCGCAATTAAAAACGATGAAAAAATWCACGAAAAGTCCAACTTAMAACCTTCTTTTGACGACCATATAGCAAGAAATACACTCTAAATCATGGCTTATTGGAAAGAGCTGAATACCGTGTGTCTTGTCGTATCATTTGTGTTGTTATTTCAGCTCTTTACCTCGGAAGCAGAGGACGACAACATCTGTGCTCCTCGAGGACGAAACTGCTCATGGTGYYTGAGTGATGGCAACTGTGGTTTCTGCGATGCTTGTGGAGACCACTGTCATAAACCTGGGGCCATTCACTCATTAGAAAACTGTACAAACTGTGCTTCTTGTATTCCTGGGACGCTTGGGGGCTCAAAGAAAGGATTTGACTGTAGGACGGAGTGGTAAGCATGAAGATTCACATGTGCATGTCAGCTGTAGTACCGTGATCTTTGCCTGTTCAATCTCATATGATCATTCAATTATGTGAAAACCTTTACACGATCTGATTAATATTTGCCCAGCCAGACTTACTCACATGAACCATGTTATTTTACTGATATTGTTTACAAGAAAAATAATTATTTTGGTAAAGCATGTCTGACACTACAGAATACCTGTGCGCGTATAATTAAGTTCATATTGTCTAAAAAAACTGAATTTTTACTAGTGTTACTGTAATGCGAAGCTAAACGTGAGCTACTCTAATAGTGCTTTTTTAACAAATGGCAAAAATATCTGATTGATAGCTAAAGGACCAGATGTCAGACAATAAACAATTTCAAAGATTTAAAACAAAAATTAGCTTAAATGAAATCTTACGTTAGTTTTGGATTATTGCATTAAAAATATTGTTAATCTTTGAGTGAGAGATAACCGAAATACAGTGTTTGATGAGTATTTTCACTACATGACCTGAAGAGTGAGAATCAATTTTTGCAGACTAATGATTTTTGAATTCTCCCGATTCAGTCATTTTAGCCTGCGTGCGTTTTGACAGGCTTCGTGTAAAGTTGACTGACCAAGCAATCACAAAAAAAAATTCAAAAAAATTCTTAAACGTTTAATGCTCTATGATTGCATTTATATATAATCTATTGAAGATAAAATTTTGTAAGTGTTTACATCTGTCGAAGTAAGTTAAGAAAGTTCCTGGGCGGCGTTGTGATACCGTGACGTAAGACGATTCGACGTCATATTCRAARACTGATACAGCGGGCTTCTATTTCCATAGGTACTATTATGARAAGTGTCCTGAGATTGTGAGTGAGCAGAAAACAGTTTATGTGGAGATAGCGTTATATCTAATGAATTTACACTCTGTGGAYTTAAAGGCTGGTACCTTTCACGCAGACTTTTATCTCTATTTTAAAGGTAAGAAMTGTTGACATGTCCAATGGCCCAGTAGACTTGGTCGACGCCTAGTATGCAGTCTCACTTTCCGCCCCTCTCCAGATCAAACATCTTTAAATCGTTTACGCTCGTCTRCTCATTSGAACTCACTACTGATTTTTTGATCCAACGAAGTCCARGGAATGTTTTACCACATTTAACGAATTTTTAATTGGCGAAATTATTCGGAATTTAGCGAATTTTCTAATGAAATGCATGTTGTGTTTCTAGTTCCACCGGGTCAAACTACTTATACCAAACAAAAATGTAAAGATGGTCTGAAAAACACGTGTTTTGAGGTGGTGAACGCTGCTGGCCAGGCAGAGGTATGAATTACATGTCATATGTTATTTGTATGTAAACATCATGTACTTTACATTAGGGTTTCATGGGCGATGACCGCCATCTACAACTTACTAGAGTACTACAGCGTAAAAACTTTAACTCGACGAAACAACCGTCGGGTTGGAAGATTTTATTTTGCACAGCAATCACTGACATTTACAGACAATCGGTTGTACTACCGTTCGTATGCCGTTAGCGTTCTTGWCACCAACCAACTAAAGAAATCCGGACAATGCTCTTGTTATAATTTTTTTTGTTGCTTTGTCTCRCTAGGTATCGAGTCACGAAGGGAAATATTTCCGTGTTAAATCAGCTTTTAACTTTGCTGCTGATCTACAAAACTATCCGTAAGTACCACCATCTCAGATTGCGTTCAATCCAATGCAAGCTTGGGTTTAGTACTACTACCATTTACGGACTGTCCTTCGGGTTAACTGCCCAAAATTCCAAAATGTCTCCTTCTTGTTAAGGAAGTTTGTTTGAAAAAGTTGTCATCACTGAGCGTCATGAAATACATCGATGGGAAGTTATTTCCATTTATTTTTTCATTATTTCATTTTCTTTTCTTTAGTTATGATAATCAAACGTTAAGAATTGTCATCCAAGATATGGAAATGACAGCAAAAGAGCTTAGATGGAAATTAATGGAGGTATACCGAGTCTCTTTTAGTTTTCAATAGATCTAGAAATGACACGAGTGAAGAATGTGTTGTACAGATTGATGAATGGGTATCAAACATTTCCAGGGATCCGGCGACATTGACTTCAAGTTTCGTAGCGGTGTTTCTCCGACTCTTAACTACACAGGCTGGTTGTTTGACACTAACTCCTGGTCACAGCTTGTATATGAAAGGTAAGTTTTAAAATACCTCAAAAAGAAGTAACAAAAAAACGTCTTTCCGTAGTGGAGTGAATGCATTTTTAAAAATCGTGAAATCAAAATTGTGAAAATCTGCACTAATTCTCCAAGCCTCCTTTAAATGATAATTGTTCTCGATCTTTGAATATATGCCATTTACTAAATTTCACAGATTAGCACAACTTCATTCATTTATTAAAGTTCCCATTGCTATGTTTGGTTCTGTTTCAGGTATAATCCGTTTTTAGACCAAGGCGTGTCAAGATACGAGTTCTTGTTTCATATGAGAAGACATAAGCGTGCAGCTTTCTTCAAGATATTTCTTCCTCCATTGTTTATAGTAATTGTGGTACGTAGATTAAATGCATGAGAAACTGAATGGATGGATGAACAATTGACTTTTATAAAACTGACTTTTTATATCCTGTGTTTGCAATGTTAATGATCACAGTCGTTGAGTGGTTGAGTTCAAATCATTCGCGCGTTAACAGCCACCGGTCATTATATCGTAGTGATTTGAACGCATTTGTCCATATGGTGCCGGGGTATTTTTTCGCAATTTTTTTAAGAAACATTTCCGGGCCTTTCAAGCGTTAGAATATCCATTCCAAAGAGCATTTTTGAAACTTTCGGTCGAACGAAATCGTGAATAGAATGCGGATAAAAACATTACATCGTGTGCTTGTAGCGTTTGCAATACATTAAGGCAGTGTCGCAAAATGTTTTGTCCTAAGTTTATTCAGTCATCGACGATGTTTTCTTTATCTTCAGGTTTGTTTTTCTTTTTCAATTCCTCCAAAAGACGCATCAATGAGATTATGGATTGATGGGTAAGATAACGTCTTCTATATCAATATGTTATTCACATATTGGTCCAGTCATCAGTGTAAAATCCTAACCCACACATCACCTTGGACTGGTAGCCAGGCGTTCCTAGCCGCCCCGACCCAAATTCCCTCGGAGCTACTGGGAACGTCTGGCGACGAAGACTAACTTCAATTCATCAACAACATTATACAAAATCATACACCGTACCCCTTGTCAAAATACTGAATTATCTCWTTGCTTCTTGTCAACAGTTCTCTCCTAGTATCTGCAGTAATGTTTCACGCCACGACCAACGAACAAACCCCAGATACACCGGCAAGTCCTATTATTTCATTTGTTTGTTGACTTGTATCCCACACATAAGGTTTTAAGCAGGAACTCGACGCATTCTTCGCCGAAAACGAGGCCTCTTATTTTTTTCATAATTTTAGTGACGGAAATATCAAGCTCCCCGCAATACGAGGTGTTTGTATTGAAGAAAAGAGAAGAGGCTTAGAAGCATAAGTGACAGTTCCCTTCCCCATCAAGCTTAAATTCTAACTGTTTTGTCATTTTGCTTTCAGGATTTAACGTTGGCAGATCGGTTTATGGTCGGTGTTTATAGTTTTATCTTCGTGTCATTCATCGTTACCATAGTTATGCTACGGTTGCAGCGCGAGAATCATCATCATTATGCCAACATATTTTATAGTGCCACTGAATGGCTGGTAAGGTTTAATCCGAAGCCAACTTAACTCCATCCATTATAATGTTGGGCGAGCAAACAATTAAATGCATTTTGGCAGGGTTGTAGGTTAACGCCCTCAAACACCATCCAACGATGTTGCTCTATCCCAAACCGTCAAAATATGTTGCCAAACGGCAAATATTCAGTATGCGTCCAGATATGTTGAATGATGTTGGGTTACTAATCCAATACTGATTTTTCTCCAGGTTTGGTTCACGGCCCCCATGTTCTTTTTCCTGTTGTACTATGTCAATCTATCACTATATCATGTGTTTCCATGCGAGATAGCTGTATCAGTTGTGGCGTTACTGTTAAAGAAAGGTGCTTCGTTCTTAAAGTAAGTATAAAGCAATGGGTCGAAGTTGAATAAACATCACTSAAACGTTACGAGAACTCATCGGAGTGGATGAGGCTGGATGTAGTGTATTTTATAGGCTCCATTTACTAGCACTCTGTACATCTTGGTATCCAATGYATAGGGAGCAAGACAAATTCTTCTCAAAAAATGAACTTATTTCTATAACCATCATTTTAGGAAACGATTGTCGCGAATATTGAAATTCGAGGATCCGTTAAAGAATGGTGACAGATTAACATCACCGATTAGTGTTGACTGGAAGAAGAAGATGGTGAATGACACTCACCCTGATGACTATATCCCACTCCTGCAGAACGAAGTAGGTTTTTTTGAACTCTTCTCGTTACTATATTATACTCCCTTCTTCGAMCTGCCTTCTTCCTAACACTGACATACATTGCTTTTAGGATGACTTCAATGACCAGATGACACATCCACGACGTGCACACTGCAAACCATGTTTCCCTGGTAACATCAATGATACTGATGAACACCCCTGCCCAAAACAACAAGTAACGCCTAACAAGAAGGCGTGACACAAATGAATAGATAAAAGCAAAAACAAGTGTGCGTAAAAAGTAACAACAAGAAAGCGTTGCATAAATGGGTGAATGAGGATAATAGCAACATATGTGCGTGACAGGTAACGCCTAGAAAGAAAGCGTGACCCAAATGGAAAATGGTGCGTGACAAGTAACGCCCAATGAAAAGCGAGATATATAGAGTCGTACTWTAAAGTTATTTTTGACAATTAACGCTTTTCTCAAGTGCGTAACAGTAAATCACGAACCAAGAATTATTAGGAATTAATTAAAAGCAACTGTACAGAATTCAGGAATTCATCCCAAGTTAACGCTCCACAAGAAAGCGTGACACATGTGCTTCACCTTAGGAGTCATGCACTTATCAAGAATGGCAAGAATAACTTAGAAAATGCTTTATGTTGAGGAGGACATTTTAGATGCTGAACAAGAAAGCGTGACACAAAGTTATATGCAAAGAAGCGACGTCTTGTAAGAATACTTGACAAGAAATTATGTTCAAAACTAGAAGTAAACATTTTCTTGCGAGAATATTCAACTTAAGCAATCAAAACTTGCCATTGTAGCTTGCTGAACAGAAATGCGTATTCTTGGTGCACACTGCAACATTCGATGTGAAATGCATGTGATTTGAAAAATAAGAATCTGTATTTTTGTTCTTCTATTGTATAAATTCCCTCTTGCCACTGAAAAGAATTGTTCAGTCGATGAGAAAAAAAAAATGATAATGGATTCATTATCAAAGCTATGAACTTAGGCATACAAAGTCGACTGAGTTTTCACAACGTAAATACTATTAAAAAACAAACAAACAAAAAATATATACGTACTTGTTGTCTTGTCTTGTTTCCCTCGAAGGGAGATCGATTCCATCCATGACCAACTCACGATTTTTGTATGTAAACCGACTAGTAGACTGTCAAGTCACAGGAAGCCCGTACCAACAGTGAATGAACTACTAAAATCAGTCTAAGTAGCCATCATGAACCCTCCTTGAGCCTCTATCGATGAAGAGCTTGAATGTTCAATGAATGTTTGAACTTTGAGAGGTTGAATATTCTCATCCACGCGCACAYAATCGGAAAAYGTCTCCTCCTACACGTATGGACAATAACATWAACGGTTTTGGAAAATTTCAAAGTAGTATTCACCGTTTGAAGGACAAATGGTTGAATATTTATAATGAATGAATGTCTCTTATATTTGAATTCGCCGRAAAGGCCCGACTTTCCATTCATCTTCGACACGGTCCCGACAGCGTTTCGTAGTCATCGAACAACTTACGAACAAGACTCGGAGAGGTCACATGTCGGTCACATGACATTTGGCGCGTAATTTGACCTCTCGCTTCAGACGACGGTCGATCCATGAGAAGCATCGYTTGGAAGATCTGAAATACGGGTAGGTAAAAATTACTTTTATCAGTTTATTTTAGTTTTGAAGGACTTGCAAGGCAGCCCATATTGAATACATTCTCTAGAAATGGACTGGTGTTCGGAATAAATGGCGTAAATGCTTCTCTSAACTCTCTTTAAACAGTCATCCTTTTATAATAGAACCAAAGAGACTATCATTTGTCTGCCTTGTATTAAATATGCCTGTGAAACTTAGCTATTTATGCTTCCTTATGCATATCCTTCATTTGAGTACTCTAATACTATGAAGACAAATTCAATCGGGCAATGAAGAACTGATCTTCACGATTAAACTTGTTGTGCAATGAAGAACTGATCTTCACGATTAAACTTGTTGTGTCGGTGTCATGTTTACGATTTTTATTTGTTACTTATTAAAATAATTAAATAATATACAGTAGAGTGAAGTCAATGAACCCGTGAAATACATATTTGACTATTACATGTTATTACTCGATAATTCCATTGTTTTCTTTTGTGTCTATTTGACTATTACAGTTTAATTATTAACTTTTATTTCACAGGATCAATGCCTTCACTCTAATCAGTAATTATGGTAATATTAAATAGTCTATACGTTGAGAAGTGTTATATGYTGTGATATACGATGTAATTCAATAGTGTAATACTCGAACTACCATTTGCTCGGTACAATTTAGCAGACTATTTAAGCTTAAGACTACCCAGTTCTGGATTATTTTCATTGAACCTGAATTGTTTTTTCTGTTAGYGGATAGGTCTCGAATGGGATGTAAAATGGCGAAGCTGAGGAACAAGAAACATCCTTCARCTGACGAACCTCTAGATCTTACAAAACAAGATATCGAACAACTTAAGAGAAAAGAACTTCAGGCATACTGCAAGAAATATGGAATAAAGGCAAATGGAAAGGTATACGAAAAACGAAATGGTGTAATTCTGTGAGAATTGGAAATTAAATCAGTCGTATCTCACATGTGTTGAGTTCAATGAACAGAATAACTAAAGCTAGAAGAGGTTTGTACTGAACTCAGCACACTTGATATTCGACGTTTTAATCATTCATTTCATCAGTAATTCTTATCAATCGATTTGCAGACAGCAGAGCTTCAGGAACAATTGATAAAACTATCACTGACATATCAAACAGGAATAGATGAAAATGGTAATGAAATCAAGGAGGGAAATGCCACTGGTGAATCGTCCGCTAATAATCACAAAAGTCTCACTGAAAAATCTTCCAAAAGTAAAAAAGTAAGAGGTAARAATTCCAAAACCTCACGTAAGGAAAAAGCTGAAGAAAACTACGGGACATCAAAACAATCMAGCGATGAACAGCAAGAAGAGTTAGAGACGCACGTTGAGGATAAAGTAGAAATTCTGAATAAAAACGAAGAAAATAAGGGAATTGTTGATATAATTAAAGAAAATGTTCATCATGACGACAGTGAACTGAAAGAAGAGCATGTTGAGAGTATCGTCAGTGRTGAAAACTTGCACGATTCATGTGACCTAGAAACAAATCATCTAGAAGACCATTACGAAGATCAGTCTCCCAGTAGCAGCACCGAGCATGAAGGACACATCGAGGAGGATCATGGCGGCGATTATGTGGCGTCTCAGGACGAAMACTCTAATATGTCACCTAAAAATACTCCCAATTCATCAGTCAATCTCCATAATCAAACCGACTTATTAGCTTGCCATACCACATCAAGTTATCAGGACAGTGACTCGATATATGGTGAAATCATTAGTRATGAAACTCTCAACGCAACATTCAATTTGGATAAGACATATGTTAAATCAAATAAACTTACGACTCCGTTCGCAATAGCAAGAAACGCAACGTTCATATTACAGAGGCAAAGTGTAGACGATGAGGATATTCCTGGATGCGATAGTACAAGCACTGCTGAAGGTTTGTGATAATGATAATGTCGATACTTCGTGTGTATTACCACGTTTGTGCTAAACGACGTTCGATCATAGTAACTTTACCAAGAAGTTGCTTTTCTCTCTTAGATGTTCGTTTTCTGGTTGGCACTTAGTTAAAAAAAGCTTGCGTTATATAAAGAATCACTATAGGTTGTTGTTGTTGTTGTTGTTGTTGTTGTTGCTTCTGTTGTTGTTGTTGTTGTTGCTTCTGTTGTTATTCTGCTGTTGTTGCTATATTATTGTTTTTGCTTTTATTGTTGTTGTTGTTGCTGCTGCTGCTGTTGTTGTTATTGTGGTTGCTGTTGTATTGTGGTTGCTGTTGTTAAACTTAATGCTTCTGTTGTCCTGTTGTTGTTGCTTTTATTGTTGGTTGTTGCTGCTGTTGTTGTTGTTGCTGCTGCTGCTGCTGTCGCCTGTTGTTGTTGTCTATTGCAGTTCTTTACGTCGATAAGAGGGGAAAGTTTGCTTAACAGCAATCTAGTCTTTTACCATAACTTGTAGAATTCTCGCGCGCTGATTGGTCGATGGCCGTTGTCAATCCTAGGACAGACGGATGAAATGACGGGGAACGTTTATCATATTGAGCTGAAACTTCACAGGGGTGTTGAGAAACATAAGGAGAACACTATGTTGTAGTTTGAAATAATTTTATTCAGTTTTACCACTTTTATTGAACTTTTCGTTTTTCACTGCCAAGTCCAGTGCTTGGGCTACCTGTGATAAGAGTACAGACAATGGAAAACCGCCTGCGAATTGTTAAACTTACATTTATTCACAATGTCAAATTAGTCTGTATCGTATCGAGAAAGAAATGTATGTAGCATTATGTAGCTAGTATTCTCAAGTAAAAAGAAATGGTAGTCGTGACGAATAATAATGTAATTCATATTGTATATCATAAGGTACTATATACAGTATTTGATATGTTAAAGATTGACTATTGAAAGCTATATTTTATTGTTTTCAGAGGAGAAAATCAACCACAGCTCACAAAAATCCACTGCACTGTCTCCCCGCTGGTGTGTTGTTGAAGGAACAGTGAAAAACGACCGCGATGCATCCTGGAGGTTRATTAAGCTCAAAGGTGGACGTCCAGTTGTACCCAACACCTTTGGAAAGTACATTCAGTTTGTTCTTGAACCAAGTCAACGTGATGTTCCTGAAGAWTTTCGTGATAATTTCATCTGCGGATCGTGTGCTAAGAAAAACGAGAAAGCTTTCTGTGAGAGAAGTGCTTCCATGAGCTTGAACAGTCGAGCAAGCGAAGGAATATCAGGGAAAGGTATGGAACGAATGGTATTCTGTTCACTGAGCGAGATTATCGAGCATAAGCATTAATAGTCTGCGAAGCAGGCTAGGAAATGGCCTTGAACATAACGGTATGGCATTGAAAAAGTAAATTTGCTAATGCCTCAATCGATAACGTTAATTCTTATGTGAAAATTCCCACAAAAATAAATCAAAAACAATAGCAAATGCAGCAACAATGACTGTAGACAGCAATAATGACTGCAAATAAAGTCTGATATATTTTTTTTGCATTTTTGTTTCCTACAAAAAGACAAAGAGAATTCCAGCACGCCGTTAACTTCTTTCRAGAGAAACACAGTCCGAGCCTCTATTAAGCGAAAACGCGTCGAGGAACAGGCGACCTGCCAACAAGAAGAATCAGAAACCCACATCATTAAGAGACAAAAGAAGTCAGGCGCCAACTCGTTCTACAACAGAAATCCTGCTAGTCCCATGATGAGAAAAGCTAGAGGAGAAGCAATAGAACTACCAAGGTACGAGCTGTTCTTCCCCCTCTTCCTTTCCCTCTCATTTTCCATTCTTTCTTCCTTCATTCGTTTTTCTCTTTTTATTCATTTTCTGATGATCAAATTTTAAGAGCCTTTTAGTATTCAACAAAAAATTATCAAATTGAATTTTTTTTGTAGGAATCACAAAAATCCATGGCGTCCMAAAGTACCATCGCGTTCAATAACACCCGTAAACGTCACAGAGGATGCCTCGTATGCTGAAAAAGTGGAGGCAATAATACAAAATACTATCCCTGGGTCTCAAGAAGAACTAARACTTATTATGACCCAGAAAAGTCGAGTCCAAAGATCRCCAACTAAAACATAAGTACCCTTTTTCTATCTTCATTTTCTTAGTTTATTTTAGTAGCTGTGCACACTAGAGAGGGTRCCCCTTGTATATTATTGATAAATCGGGGCAATCGGCTCCCAGGATAAGATAATGAGAACAAGAGAGTTACCTATATGCTACACAGGGAYCACTTTCTCTTTGAGTCTGTATATATCTTTCCATAAAATGGAATTTCATTTGAGGTCATATAGCACATCTAAGGGCATACTATAAATACCCCATCATGCACTACGTGTCTTGTCTTTATTGTAATTCGTTTATTTTCGTCGACAGATTCAGTTAGGAGAGAGTTTCGTCAAATCTATGAACACTCTCGTCTTTCGTGTAGGATTAAAGTTTTGCCCTCGTCAAACAATCCGCCATGATTGAGGGAAATTCAAAATTGACTACCCTCTTTTACTAGTCAGTTTATGGTTGGTTTGTCCAGCGGTTTATCATGTTATCTAGCGAATTTGAAACTAAACTATGGACATGCCAATGCACATTTCTTTTAACTCTCTCAGAGTAATGAAACTAATGAATTAGAACTACCAGCGTAATATATCGATCACGTGATATTCGTTTTTAGGGTGTGTACAAGTCAGCTGTTCACATGCTTGTATTGTTARACCCACAATTCTATGATAATACTCCTGGCTATCAGTAAATACGACGAAACCAGGTGTTTGTACACACGTTAGAAATAGGATACTTGGGGTGAAAGAGACTTGGAAAACCACTTTTTAGTGTATTTACCGATGGATTTTAATTCAAGAGGTGTAGTGTTTGCCCTTTTTTCGCCAGAAAAGATGAAATCACATAGATAAAATCCTAAAGAACGAAAGAAGAGAAACTGAACTAAACGCAGAAAGTAAAAGATAAAATTGATAGAAATAGGCGGGAAAAAAGAAAAAAAAATAAGAAAATCTCWAAAAYAAAGCGAGAGAAGAAAATAACGCAAACCAGTGTGAAAGTTGTATATATTTTGAGTTTGATTCCTGCCATCATTGTTCTTTGATCCCTTTCCAAGACGTTTCCTTCAGTTTCGGCCGTGACTGTTTATTGACTCAAATTACGAGTATTTTGGAAATACCAGATAAAATGAGTGGAGTCTGCTGTGCAATCTCCCTCCTATAGTCGTAAATTTTAGAGCTATTCTATTTATAAGGAGAAGTGCGGATTTCATTTAAGCTTAAATAGAAACGGGGKGTGCAYGCTACATTCGATACAAAGTAATCTGGTTGCGCACAAGGCACTCCTTCTGGATAAACAACTCCATTTTGATGAGGAGTTCGATTCATTTGATACCGCTRTCTRCTGCAAACATAGGAGTTTSGTCMATCAATCSTCTCTRGTTCTTTGTTTGTACAAGTGTTTTGGTGGGTGTTGCAGTAAGGCGAYACCAAACAAACTACAAGAAGAATAAATACCCGTTTTTAGAGCTAGCTATTCACTYCACTGATGATAAGAAATCTCCAATCAGGTAATCACTAGTAATACAGCAGCTTAATACATGTTCAAGACCTCATTAAATAATACGTATAATTAGTTTCGTTGATTAACTGTTTCCAGTTCGTTGTGTAATACTGGCTTTCTTGTTTTTCTCCTTGCCATTTTTAGAATGATCAAGTATTTCTGCTTCGTGGTGTTTTTCCCGTTTGCAATTTCCCATTTCCAAAGGGGACCAWTTGGAYCTGGACAAATATCAGGTAAGTTYCACTTGTGCAATCGTAGAAACTATTTAAAAACTCTACTTTTGAATTCAATCAATTAAAACTATAATATGGACAAGGCTCTCTTTAGTCTTAATACATAGCAAGATTTTTTAAGTTGTTATGTTTTGTTATTGTTTTAACAGATTCAAGTCCCGAGCTTACARGTCATCTTTTTCACGGCGACATWAAGTTAACGCCCAARGAGGAAGCCAATATGGAGAAATATGGAAACCCCTACGGACCATCTAAAGATAGAGCAGCAASCAGCSAGGACGAYAAGAGATGGCCAAATGCAATCATCCCTTACGAGTTCGACTGCTCTGTTGGTRAGAATACTTCCAACACATAAAACAGATTTTTCATTWTAAATGTAATGCATTTCTCTTGCAGCTAACATGGAAAGYGCAGTRTCTTCGACCAAGAAAGCTATGGCTGAATGGGAAAGTAAAACGTGTATTCGATTCAAAAAGAGGACAACAGAGACTGCGTATTTGCAGTTTTTCAGGGGATCAGGGTAGGGCTTTGTAATAAGTGCAGTCGAGTTTCTTTTGAGTCGCATCTTGTTGGTGATTGACAGAATGCAAAAGTGCTTGATGAAGGATTCTTGGGTCAAACGAGTTTCCAGTCAAACTTTGTTTATTGAATTACATATGAAGTCAATACCTTATTCCATGCCTGCTAAGCAACTTAGTTTTATTTGTCTTTTAAAACGCTGAAAATGTTCCGATATCATTTGAGATCGGTCATCAAAAGGAGCTTTAATTTTGTTAACGAGCTTTACATATAAACAAATAAATAATCATTCATTGTGTGATCGACTGACTCGGGCGTCTCCGTCCGGTCGCTACCTTAAATTCGATAGATTTTGAAGGCGCAGAATTAAGAGGTCACCCATCTTAGACTCACGCAGTCTTTATATTCTTATCAGTTGTATTTCCATCCACTTTGTATAGATGTTGGGGACATGTTGGCCACACAGCAAACTGGATGAGCCAGATTTCGATTGGCGACAACTGCGATTTCCAACACGTCATGTCACATGAGATCGGTCACGCTGTTGGTTTCTGGCACGAGCAAAGCAGACCTGACCGTGACAATAGCATCCAGGTTCTTTGGGAAAATGTGTTACCAGGACTCGAAGATGCATTTGCAAAGAGGACGTGGGGTACTGAAGTCGTCGATTACGGTAGCAAGTATGACTTTGCGTCAATAATGCATTATCCTTTCACTGCTTTCTCAAAAAACGGCTTACCTACCATCAAAGCCATCGTTAGTCTGGACGGCAAGACACCATACGTGGGTGTGAGCGCAGACGATGTTCTTCAAACAAATGCCATGTACAAATGTAATGCAATTATGACGAAGCGAATGACTGATGACTTTGAATCGCACTTCAAACCAATGCCTCGAATTGTGAAAAGAGGAAATTCCTGCAGAGACAAAAGTCAAGACTGTCAAAAGTACAAGGATTGGGGTTTATGCGTGAAGCACGCGGACAGTATGGTGTACTGGTGCCCAGTCACGTGTGACATGTGTTCATCAGACGCTTGTATGGATAAAAAGGGAGACTGCAAGGCCTGGGCAAATGGTGGTCATTGCCAGTCTAATCCTGGAGCCCTTAAAATAGATTGTCCCTATACTTGTGGTTTCTGTGGTCAACCTAATACTCCACCTCCAACTCCACCACCTCCAACTCCACCACCTCCAACTCCAGCACCTCCAACTCAATCACCACCAACGCAGGCACCCCAACCACCAACTAATCCGCCATCTCCCCATAAAGCTGTTGGGCTTCGGTGTGTTGACAAAACAACCCGTTGTCCTTCTTACGCTTCGTCAGGAAAATGTGAAAAGTCTGGATGGGTGTTCCGTAATTGTTTGATTAGCTGCAAAGCAAAATGTGATAATCAACCACTTAAAGCTGACGGTGATTGTGCCAATTCTCTRGGTCTTGGATGGGACTATACCCTACCTGATAATGCTTTCTCTGCATCCACAACATTGGCTCCAGGCGGAGGCTGGAGAGCTGCGGCTCACTCGGGACGACTTTACTTCCAAGATGATCAGAAACGCAAACTGATCGGCGGCTGGTGYCCWACWGACCGAAACAACCAGTGGCTGAAGATTGATCTCGGGAAACTCAAACGACTGACAGGAATTGCAACACAGGGTACGATCGAGTCTTCAGTAACTAATTTTAGAATAATATTACATTCAAAAAGGTATAGAATAGCAATTATATGAAGGAACTACAGAAGTTAACACGGAGTTTTCGCTTTAAGTAAAGTTAGTTCCAAACAGAAACAAATGTAAACGCTTTTCATCAAACAAAGACTACKATTTTCAAACACTAACACAATCAGTAGGCTGKYKCTTATGATAATGATCCTAAAAGGTGTACAKYAACTYGGTGTGCTGGTTTCAAACCCTAAAAGGCAATAATGAAAAAGTGATTAATAGAATGATTAATTTTGGATGAGCTCGTGTTGAGCTTGGATATATTTGTATAGTTGGACCTTTTGCCAACAACAGAGAACTGACATGATTGTTTTCAACTTAGGTCGTGATGTATTTTATGAACACGTTGAAAAATATGAGCTGGAATTTAGTAGAGATGGAATCAACTGGAGCAAATACCAAAAGGTAGGCATCATTTYCTTAATTTGTTACCACTTGTTCAAAGTCATTTAGATTATTGAAATTCTTCTTCTTTTCAAGTTACATCACAGCGGCCATCTTGGAGGAACTTTACCAAAGGATTTCTCATTAGTATCAATTGTTCATTCCTCCAACATGCATGGCCACCGGTCCTTTATCTTTTGAGCCTCAAAGAATTGTCAATTTGGTTGAAAAGGGTCAAAAGCTCTTTTTTTACCTACTTTAATTGAGCTTCTATACCGAAAATGAAAAGAAATTCTCTCAAAACTGCGTGTGAAACTTCTAATTAATTTTGATAAACATTGCGACACCATTACCTAAAATTGATGCTTTTTAACATTTATATTGTTCTAAATTCGGTTTTGTCAAAGTCGCCCACGCCTTGCATCTCCACCGTACTATTTAAGAGTTCTAACCAAAGTTTATTTATTGATAAAAAGGTAAATTATAACGAATATTCCCTACCGCAGGTTTTCGATGGAAACTGTGATCACTTCACTCCGGTGCTAAACCGGTTTAGCTCACAGGTGGCTCGTTATGTCAAGATTATTCCTGTTGGTAACCAATATGCCTGGCCTTGTCTGAGGGTTGAACTGTACGGATGTAATCATTCTTAGGTTAGTGATGCAAATGTACGTCTTATTCACACCACGATAAAATGGGTTAAGCTCAACAATGATAATTTAGTGAATGGCGTAATTCGAACAGTGTCCGTGGGTGTAGTCATCAGAGTTGTCTTGTTAATCAATAAACTCTAACCTGCTGCTCGCGTTCATTTGATATCTAGGATTAAAGCAAAACGTAAGAAACAAGTACAGTTGCACTGTATGTTATACACCGATTTTGACTAACCTTGATTATGGAAACTGAATGGACATTCTGAGATCGATTGGAMTTGTGKGAGTTTTCRAAAGAARCATTTGATCACAKTTGAATTCAACTTAACTTTTTTAAAAGAAAAGACTAGCTCCTATTTTTACTAAGAGTAATATGTATAATTGAATATAGATATTATAATGCCCTGCTAAATTCAAATATGACTATGGAATATAACTCCAGTCACTGTTACGGACTCCAATCGATCATTACAGAACCTCAACTAACTGAAAGTGGTGTGATGTTTTGAGTATGAAATGATCTCTATTTTCTCTTCTATTTTAGAATGGCAATTGAAAGGAATTGGCAGTCACAACCAGTTATAATCCACTACCTTCTYAATATCATATTCTACACCAACTTTGAAATGAAAAGTACTAAGTTTGCTGTCAATAAAAAGTCATCGTTCARTGCTCAAGTAGTGTGTGTTAGTATTGCTGCWGYTGGCATTGCCTTGTGTTTMTCCTAATTGCCTAATGTCAGCGTGAATTCTGTTGTCAAATATTGGATTTTGATAAGATAAATGCACGTGTCGTATTTAAGTATATAACACGTGAATTACKTCACACCAAAATGTGGTCGACAAAGGGGATCAGAGTAACTGCATATCAAAATAAAATGTAGATGAGCTATCATTGATAAATGATACATGTACATCAAAACTCGATACACTAAAGTTCTACTTTCGGAAAGAATATTAATAGGTCCAATTTTCGAGTTGGATTTCTGAGCATCTACTTTGCAATATAAACATACTGTGACGTCATTATGGTATAAATATCGATCAATTTCGTCCACAAAAGGGCAAGAATAAGGTGCTCAGTTACTTGAACTAGTTTATAATTGAGGCGGAGATTTAAGTAATTTCAAAGCACAGGATATTGAGAAATGATAAAAATTAGCGTATATTTTATTCCAAATGATGCATTTGTGAAAGTCCGGAGATACTTTCAATACAATTCATTTAGACGTAAGAATCRATAGTCCGATCAACGGTAATAAGGCTCTGGTCAATTCTAATATATTGTTTGAATTTCACTAAAAACTCATTCCGGCACGCCTGTATCAGTTAAGCAGTGATTCTTGGACAGAAAGGTGAGTAGTAGAACTGATAAGAATTGTCATCTAAATTGGTTTGACGGTTTTTTTTGATATTTTACTTCAGTTTGACGGTCGCTCTGATAATAACAGCACACAAGATTCCTTACACATGCTCATTAGGTAAGTATGGCAGTTGTCATAATTTTTAGAACCAAATACGGGTTTCCCAGGTTTGAGGAATCATAACTTTTTAGTGCTAGGGATTGCGCTCTTCGATGATAACAGAAAATCTCTGATTATTCTTTAAAATGAGTTCACTTTTCAAAAAGATTTTTTTCCAACAGGATTTTCGTTTGTTTGTTTAGCCGCGGGCGGTTATTTTGTAACTTGGTTAGGTTGCACGTTTTCTTTAAATGATCCTAAATTATCACTTAGCTATGACAGTAATTCTTTAGAGGGAGCCAAACTTATGAATTGATCATGATAGATACCAATAAATATATACTCCAATTTTTAAGTTACTTCAAACATAAATGGCGTCAGTGGTCACTATCGTCCTTCTCGTTGTCTTCGTTCGTCGTCTCAACTGTTACTGTCTTCCAAGTCTTACAATCTTAAAAGTTATGGTTATCGTTCTTTTAGTGTTGCTGGACCTTTTCTATGGAATTCACTGCCATCTTCAATCAGAGACATTTCTTCACTTGACAATTTTAAAACTGCTCTCAAAACCTTCCTTTTTAAACAAACTTATGATCTGTAACTCTATTTTAACTTTCTTAATATCTTAATTTTTACCTTTTTATTTGCGCTTAGAAAAAGTTTTATAAGCGCTTTATAAGCTTAGATTATTATTATTATTATTATTATTATTATTTCTTTCTGATGACGTCATGTGAAGTTCAACTAGGTGCACTGTGGGATTTGAAAGAGTACAAAGTGCAGTCATGTTGCTTATTTCCCAAACTAGTACTTCAGAATAACGTAAATTTCCCAAAGAAACCCAGTTCTTAGTAGTTTTTGACATCCGCCATCTTAATGACCATGATTTGCCAAAGCAAATATTACGTCATTAGTTAGTCTCCTGTCTCCCAATAGTTATCAGTATATTGGGGCCCAGGTCTCTCTCAAGAACTAACATCGACTAATATAATGATTGCCAAGGCCGATTATCTTCTATTGTTTTGATGCGTTATTTTCTTGTTTCCACAGTATTACTTCAATCAATGAGATGAACGATTCTTCAATCCTCGCGAAGTATGTCTTTAATCCTGCCTCGTCKTCTATCAAGGTGCCTATTGCCTCGGCTAACATCCTGTGTGCTGTCTATGGATTTGCGGCAAACTCTCTGATCTTGTATTTCTTCCAAAAAAACGGAGGAATCTCACTTACCAAAAGATTCTCGACTACCTATCTCTTCATCCAAAGTCTTGCACTGTCCGACGTCCTTTCGTCTTTGATCAGCAMTCCTCTTTTTACAGCAGAGATGTTCCACGATTTTATCACGAGTGAACTRAAATGTCAAATTTCCCGGTACTTTATAGTATTTTTCCCAGTTGTGACAGTCATGAATTATGTCTTGATAGGCACGGAAAAGTACATGTGCGTATTTTATCCATTTGCTGTACCCAGCAGTCGTACTTGCAGGAGACTAGTGCTGCTGGCATGGTTGACTGGAGTTGTCCTGACTGTCCTACCAATTCCTTCTTATAGTCTCGTTCGTTTTGATCTCGGAAATCAACAGTATTCATTCACCTGTAAATACGACAGCTCGGTCAAGTTTAAACGCCAGCTTTTCCTAAGCTTTGTAACGATTGCATATATAATTCCATGTATTTATCTTACGATTACAAGCTTTCGTCTTTTTGCTTTCGTGCGAGGCTTGCGGCGCGTTTCGCCGACTGCAAATCCCACCGAGGCGCGTAACAATYATCGAACAACTAAAGTAATAAGCTTATTTGTTTCGTTAATAGTTGCGTTTATAACTCCATATATTGCATGGATTTGCTATAGCAGTGCTACCATGATTTTAAAGTTTAAGCTGTCATATGAAACTGATTATTTAGCGAGGATGATCAATGCTTTGTTTGCATTTGCAAATGCCATGGTTGGTCCCACTATAATGTTTGTAAAGCAGCCATTTTTGAGGAGGAAGATTTCGAATCTGCTCCTTGGCATCTTTAGTCATGATGATGTAAGTCCAGTAGTGCTTCCTTCAATTAGTAATAAGTCGAAAAAGTCCGAAAAGTYTGAGGTTTAAAAAGCAGACTTTTAAAAACGGCTGAACGTCTCTGTACATGTTTTTCTGCTATCGCATTCGATTAGATTGGATTTGCAGTAGAGCGTAGCAATAAATACATTTTATCCTTAACATAGTTTTAATTTAATTGTTTTAAAATACAAACTACGTGAAAGGATTTTGAAAGCTTTTCTTTAAATTTCTAGAAATGTTGTGTATAAAAAAATGATTCTACATAGGAGTTTGCAAAAATATTGAACATCTACAAACTATTGTTGATGATTGTAACCGGGGAATAATTATTATTAAACAGRGACAAACCTCCAGTTTACTGGGCTAAAAACTTCATTGCGTCAATTGCCTTATAAAAACAGGGATCGACCTGAGTGAGGGAAACCATTTGAGTCATCAGGTTTTACTGTTGTAAGTATAACTTGATGAATAAGAGTCAAATAACAGAAATAAGGGTTCCGCGATTTTCAAATAGGCCGTAATCTAAACCCTCCACTGGCACATGGGTTTTAAGCAAGAAATGGAGGAGTATTTTGTAGCAAGAGGATCGATAGTCTCCTTCGCAATCAACCCATTTGTCGGGTTTTTGTCTTTTCCTCTGAAAAGATTGTTTTGGGAGGGACAGGAAGTTCGCCAAGTGGATTGRAGAAGAAGATTAGAGGATTGATGGATGCGGCGAATACATCCAGTCTTRAGTGGTGGTCTGGGGATGAGTAATAAGTTATCCAATAGGTCACGATCATGGTTTAGAACACGCTGCGYCATTCAGCTTGAACAGAAATTTTATCTTGAAGTCCAACTAGAACACTTCRAGGACATTCATAACGTAGATACATTTCATAKTCGAAGKGTGGCTCTTCATTGATCTTCATTGGTAAGCACTTATATASCGTTTATACGTCGATACTGATAGCGGCAAAAATACGTCTATWGCTATGCTATTTGATTGTTTTTGGGCCGTTAATCATTCGCTTAATTATAATGTCACATGCACAGAATCAATAGAAATAGTACTCTAATTTTAAGACTTTTCTGGTTGATTTCTACATATGTAGTAAGATTTGGCGTAGTTCAGTTAATCTAACAGCAAATTCAGTGTTAAATTCTATTCGATTTATGGAGACTTTGTTACTTTGTGTAGCTCTCAAGACAACTAAAAGTATATTTTACATAGTTTCTATMTTTCCTTCATTACTAAATGACGAGTAATTGATCAATGAAGATAAGCTAAAATCTTGGAAATCCACTGAGTAGCTTAAGGGCATAAGAGGAAGTGGAAAGCAGATACATGTGAAATGATTGGATCTTCATACATTTACTTAAACTCTGACCTCTTAGAAACGGCCAACCTCTGTAAAGTGATCACCTGGTGTTTTCTCAAGAGGTGACCACTTAGCAGTGGCTCGTCGTACGAAATATGAGATAAGTTCAAGCCACAAAAGAACGTCGATAGATACTAATGAGAAATCCTTTGTTGAAGTTCCTCCAAGATGGCCGCTGTGACATGTGATGCCGCGCAAATTTGATTATATWTGATTATATGTCATGTTCCAGGGGAAAAGATGGAATTAGCAAGATTGGTAATATTTGTTCTGTTGTTTTTGGTGKCTTGCCACACGGAATCTAAAGCTTCGCCAATCAACAAGCCTTGTACGTAAAACTATCAATTGAGTTTCATTTCATGTTAGCAATCGGAAATTCACTAACTGGCACACCAAAACAAAAACAAAAGCAAAGAAAAAAGACTYGAACAAAACAAAAAGAACGAGACTGATTCCATAAGTCGTGGTAATTCGCTCCTCTATTTTTTCGGTTTGTCGGTTTGCCGCGACAAAAAAATCGACAGAGAGGGAACTTGTACTGACTAATGGAATCAGTCTAAACTAAAGAACGTGGCATCATCGAATCTAACACCGAAGGGAATTTTAAGTACTSAGAAATAAATATGAATACTCCTGTTTGCATTAGGAGTATAGTACAATATAGCATTAACCGAAACAATAAGGTCATTTTATTCAGTGCAGGCACTTTGGMTCTGCAATACGTTTTGTAATGTTGTCATGATAGCTACTTTCCCATACTCCCTTCTTCGCTTCGATGATGGAACGAACAAATAAGATTTACTCATTGTTTTTAGTCAACAAGGTTTAATTTAAACCGTTGATAACTTCATTCGTTTATCCTTTCATCTAGTTTTCCCTTCCCATAAAAAAGATCAAGACAAGACTGACCATTTTTTCTTTAATTAGGCGACAGCGATAACATGGAGTTTGTATGTAGAGGTGCTGATATATGCTCCATTTGCGAGGACTCTGRTCATATAAGCCACGCCTTTATCAAAGATTCCTGCTGTAAAACCTGCAGAGATTGCCTAYTGAAAAAGAAGGAATAGACTATTAGAAAACCCGGATGAGGGGTACCATCTGATGGTCTGACGCTAAATATTTAAAGGAAATTACACCCACTACATTACKTATTGATTTAGTGAACTGAAAGACGTTACGTGTGAGGTCATAATAACGCAACGACAGCGCCAAGTGACGAGCGAGATCTAACTGTCTTTTTGTATTCTCTAATTCCGATTTTTCCTTTTCAATCTATGCCACTTTTCCTATTGCATCATGTCATGATATGGAAGATCCTCTCATCCTATTATTAGCTAGCTTTTGCATTAAATAAAACAAAAATAAAGTAGATACTAGACTAGACAAGCAAATATTATACTATGRAAGAGTGAATTTCATTTATTCAATAAAAAGAACAATTAAAATTGGAAAATATAACTGATGTAGATAAAAGAACTTTGTCCCAGTGACAGAATGGAAACGATGCTATCAGATTATCCCGAGAACAAAAAAAAGCAATGCAATGGGGCAATGAATAGTTGAAGAAAAATAATTGCCGATTTTTGCCTGTACCGCAATCAAACTTCAAACGAGCAAGAAATCGCTAGTTTAAAAAATGTTTGTTGACCAATTTATCAACAAAATATAAGATGCAGCTTATCACAACAGAACTACATTATAGCGCCAATACAGCATCAAACTTTTATGAGAAAGATTGGGTTACCTGTCCTTTTTAAAATGGCGGATCATTGGGTATCTGAAATTTTCCCTCCCAAATTCGAGTTTAAAACTGTGAGTGAGCTACTAGAAAAAGAGACCGATGAGTTTAGARCAAACTCCGATAATGTCAAGGTATATGAAAGCTACAATAGAGCTTATMTAGAAATTGCTAAACACGAAGAAGAASAASAACAGCMGAAAGACAAGCAAAGTGTCGAAGACGGTGATGATGKCCGACYTCAAGTTGACGTTCATAAGMAAACCARSAAAGCCAGTAATGAAATACCGAAAGARGAAAATGGAAAGGCTAARGATAATGTTATTTGGACGAACGACGAAATACGTATACTTCGACAAACTTTTCAAAAATTGAAAATCCAAAATGTGCATTTGACAGGAATGGTCAGTTCATTGACACAGGAACTCCAAAATTGCAAAGAAAGGGAAGCTAAGACGAAAACYTGTTACAATATATTGAAAGAAAAATGGTCTGAATTAAAGAAAAGATACAGACGAGCAAAAGTAAGCTGCAAGTCAATCAAAGAAGACTTAAAATGGCATCATTTATCATTAAAAACTGCAAGGAAAGAATTAGAACAGTTGCATTTTGAAAGAAATGAAATATTGAAAGATTTGAATGATACAAGAGTAATCTTAGAGTCAGAAAGAGTTACAAACTCGCAACTAATGGCAAAACTTGATGAGAAGGAGTCCGAGAAAGCCAAGGCTTTACAACATTGCGAGTTTGTCATAARACACCAAAGTCAACTTGAAGARACTCTTTTAAAAAAGGAGATATTTCGCTTGCAGCAAGAGYTGAAAAAAGAAAAAGCAGAAAATGTGATCAATCAAAAAAGTCTTGACAATCTTAGAAATCATTTTGTGAGCTCAAAAWTGAATGCASAASAAGCAGGAGTTGACATTTTAAGTATTGCAGATATAGATTACTGATACTAGAGGAATGGTGTTAATTGTCTAAATTTCACTGTGCCAGTCATACTAAAAGGTCTATATAAGAGAAGTCTTAGGCCTGGTTTAGACATCTTCTGTGTTGTCTAATATAAGATCTTGCATGTAGTTCATGAGAGCAATTTTTTTTTCATTTGCGTTTGAAAATATTAACATTAGTTTCCAAAGTTCAGAGTATTTTGATAGCTATATAGCAGTTTATCAAGCGTCACCATCTCTGGCCTGTGCCATGAAACACCACTACTCCAGAAGAAGGCTATCCTACCAAAAATGCTAGTAAACCATTTGTATAACTTTAATTGTACTAGAGGACTTCTCAACAATTATTGTAGGCCTCTCTTGCATCCAGCTATCTTCAAGATGAATGTTCTTAAGAAAAATCCATTATTTTAATACAACAGAAAATTCATTTTTCTCTTTCTCAAGTTTTAATMAATCAATTATTTTTTAATCTTTAGATGTGTTAAAAAATGTGTTATGATATGATCCTTTTGTTTATTCATACACTCGTTTTTGGTTATATATRAAATAAATTCTTGTAAATCATAATAACTTCTGTATGAAAATACAAAATGTGAAGCCMATTACTGAATTTCCCATATTATAGASCTGAACGCCGTCAAGCGAAGCGGCGCCCGTTGGCTTGGTAACGATAACACACTCGTCTCAAGCAAATGAACATCRACTACGCGTGTGGCAGCAGCCGCTTTGTAAATATTCTCGATAATCTTGGATAGATGCCACTATAACGATAATATACATCATCCTTGAAGCATTTATAAACCCTAAAACCTAGTGCAATGGTGGAACACTTCAAGAAATAGCCAATGCTTTCAATATTCCCTTCGAAGCACCAACTGCAGGCCTCAAATCGAAGCCAGTTCAAACACTCCGGTCATCTTCTCAAACTAAACTCCAGTCAGTTCAGAAGAGAGTACAGAAGCGGAGCAGTTTATCACGGCGAACTAGACGGCTACAAGAAATCRGGTAAAGGCATCTTTAAGTGGCCGAACGGGGCTTGCTAYGATGGTGAATACACGAACAACAAAAGGCATGGCAGAGGGAAACAGTATTGGCCAGATGGGTCACTTTATGATGGCGAGTTTAGTGGAGACTTAAGACAAGGGTTTGGCAAACTTGTTTTCCCAGATGGCGARGTAAGTATAAACCTATAGGGTCTATTTTGTTTGAGTTCGTCTGGTTGAAGCTTCAAAGTACAAATTCTTTGTCAAAGATCGGTATCATTTTCAATCGATCAAAAACTAGAACTATTCGAATTTGCAATTAAGTATTCTATAATAGAATATCAATGTCACATAACATTTAAAGTCGAAATATTCGTTTTGATTTTGTAGTTATACTTGCTATTGTTGTTCTTGCCCAATATTAGTACCAGTTTGTTTCAGTCACGAATTTTTTGATGTGGAAATTGGAAATTTGCATCTTTGGATTAAATGGATCATCTGTCTGAATTAATGAATGATTCACACATTTTAATTATGATGATGGTATTGTATTTTCCAAGATCTCGAGTGATTTGACTTGATGGATATCTATTTCAGAAACATTAAGAATAATATCATTTTATTGTTATCATCATCATCATTATCACYATCATATCACAATTAATGGATATCATGAAGAGACTTGACACTTCTTGAAAAATTCTAATTTAGTCAATATAATTTTAGTGAGGAAAAGCAAACCACAGATGGAAATACCAAATTTCTTTTTACTTTTCAAAGAAAAATAATCCCTATTCATGTTGATGTTAGGTGAAGTATTTCYAATTTAGAATATACTTCTTAAAACCATCTTTTTTACTCAGACTTATGAAGGAGAGTTTCACAATGACAAAAAGCATGGTAAAGGGACTTATGTCTGGCCGGATAAGACCAGTTTTACTGGYCAGTTTTACATGGACAGGAAGGAAGGATTTGGCTGCTTTACTTTTGCAAGCGGCAATACATTTCAAGTAAGAAATATAATTAATATATTTATATAATATAAGTTATRTAATACAAGCATGAATGATTTGTTTATAGGGAATTTACAAGAATGATTTGAGAGATGGACCAGGAATCATGATTTACAGTGATGGTAGAGAAGATGTTGGAGTTTGGCTGGAGGAAAAACTGATTAAACTTTGCTCCGTCATGGAAAGTGCATTCTTGTTTCAGCATTTCTCAGAATACAATGTYAAYGCTGGGGAAAATATCTCTGGAAAAGTCCGTCGAGCAAATTCGGCTTGGGAAAGTGTTCGTAACACWCCWTTACTTGATGAAAGCCAGGTTAACCAGTTTATTAGGAATAGTGTTCCTAGGTCTTTCCCTTATTCAGACATTATTGATGGTATAAGAGGCGAAAGAGCAGCTAAAGGTCCACTAGAAATGCAATCAGAGGAGTTATTAAAATATGCTACGGCTGGAGATTGCTTTGGTGTGGAAGACTTGTTGCAAACTGGTGATGTCCATGTTGATGTTGCAGATAAAACTGGTTACACTCCTTTACTAGCAGCTGCAGTAAGTAATAATGTGTTACCTTTAGTAAGGGAGTAGAGGGGGCTTAGATACAGTAGTGTATCATGTCAAAATCCAAACAATTTGATAAAGATACCTGTATTCAATGATGATATTGAGCTGTTTGTGTCATCTATCTTCAGACATTATATATTTCCACTTCTGTCATAGGTGAACTGTCATCGTGATGTAATCAACTGTCTATTAGACCATGGCGCTAATGTTAACAAACTCAACGACGAAGGTCTGTCTGTATTAGCTGCTTGYCACGTGCTATTCTATACTAGACATACCTGGAAAGACAACATCGCTGAAACGATACCAGAAGAAAATTTATTTAACTACATTCAAGAGGACACTCAAAAAGGAATATTTGTTCACAGGAACTGCCGGACTGCGGACTCTGAAAAGAGCGAYAATGTCGATAACAGTATYGACAAAGAGGACTTGCATGACGACCTTTCTGTTGAGGAACTTAAAATTGATGATAAAACTGAACAAGGAATCCATATTGTTGACAGAAACTTTGAGAGACGACTGTCTTTGAAAATACAACGCGGGTTTGATAAGGAATTATTTCTTAAAAGAACTAAAAATATTAAAAACGAAGCTGACGCAAACAGCGAACATGAAACTAGCAGTTTATCAACGGAGCAAGAAAAGACTGACAATAGCAATAAATCTGTACACGAYACGTCCATGTTTAGTATTTTGAGTGTCATGAGCACAAAGAACGTTTCTTCAGATACCTACACAGATGAAACTTTGAGCGAAACAAGTTTAGAGCAAAACAAGCAGTGTTTTCTTACTATGCAAAGGTAATAAATACACTTTTCTTGTCATTAAAATCAAGGAATCAAGAATCGATTAATAATGAAACTTCTGTGTTTCTATCATTAGACGTCCACATCTAGAGGCAACAGTTCGTCTTCTTCTCAAGCGCGGCGCTGATCCCAACGCTTCGTCTCTTCCTATGCCTGTCTTGTTTTTTGCTACAAAAGCTGCTGACACAGCGGCTAATGAAATATTACTACAAAAAGGTGCGGACACATCGGCTCGACTGTCCCATGAGGTATGTTAGTGGCTTAGCTGGGATGTGCACTGTACCATTTTACATGTAACCTGTGTTTCTCTTCGCGTCGTGAGCTATTTAACAAATAGATCTCATTTTTCCGTGTGTGTGTACTCTAATAGATACACAGATGACGTCAAAATGTAGCGAGAACAACAGTCACGCACTCGACGCGTTGTATAAATAAAAGTATATATCCTATCCAAGGGCGTATCCTGGATTTTTGAATGATGTGGCGGGGTGTAACAAACTGGTATCTACAATCATTCATGTAGGGCGCGAAAATATAGCTCGTTTAGTCATAAGCATCAAATTTTAACATAGCTATCTAATAGATATGTAATAGTATGATGAAGTAATGTTATTCCTTGTTGATATTTCCCGCTTTACAGAAACTTGGTATAGCCCCATTACATATCGCTGTGGCATTACCAGACCCTTCTGGGATTCTCATTACCGAGTTGTTGTTGGAGTCTGGTGCCAACGCTGACATTAGAGACAGTGCGTTTGGTGAAGAAGAGGAGAATGGTAGAACACCCCTTCATATCGCTTGTTGTAGAGAAGACAATAACGAGGTAATTATAGCGAATTAACTTAATATATTCCTCCTCCAAGCTTGTCTTTCTTCAAATTTTATCAAAATGACCCAGTGCGTCTTGCGCAGCGACGTCATTCTCTAGAACAAAGCGTGATGGGAAATCATTCAAAATTATCATAAAATCTGCTTTTGTGGTTTCTTTGCAAAAGGGCGCGCAAGTATTTGTGCCGTTCTTGGGAAAACAGATTTGGAGGGATTTTTCAACGCAGTGTTACAACATTTCATACGATTGTAGTAGAAAATGGCGTCGTTGGATTAAAACTGTATTTGTCCTATTTCCTTGGTCCTGATCATCTTGTGCTGCACCTTTTGTACTCCCAGTCTTTTAGCCGTATAATTTTGTAGTTGTGTTGTCATTTTGCTCGGTGAAAAGTAATGTGCCGACAAAACGTCCATATGGGAAAAGACAAAATGATAATGTTGTTTGACTATTTTAGGACGCATGCGTAGTTGTTCGTCTTCTTCTCWGCAAAGGAGCCAATCCTGATCTGATATGTGAAGGACATTCTCCTCTGTCTTTAGCAATCTGCAGTGGGAATGACTTGGTATGGTGCAGTATTAGTACATTATGCGAGTTATTACAATTATATTGTTGCGAATATTTTGCTTCTTGATATGTGATCATTTTCGTACAATTTACTGCCAACTTGAACCGAAAATAAAMAGTTTGCTAGGTTAGTTCTAGTTTCCGTCCGTTGGCATTTGTGACAAAGATATAGCTAAGTAAATAGAACTGCACTACGGAAAGCAACAAAGGTAACGCAGACTGCGTAAAAGCTCTGTCTATGGGAAGAGATAAAATAGGCTGCCTGAGTAATCCTTTTATCGTCTTTAATCGCACTTTATGAACTATTTCTCTGTTTTACATTATCCAGGCTGTTGATGCTTTGCTAGAATATGGTGCTAACCCTAGTCTTAAGCTGAAGAAAGGCGTAGGCTCAGCTCTTTGTGCTGCMACATCATTTGCTGCYGAAAGAAGACGTACTCCACAGAAAAGAATAAAACTGGTATGATCTATCTCAAATTCTCAATATTTTATTATGGACAATGATTTTRAAATGTAATTTGCTTACAGATCGACAAACTAATGCGTCATAAGGCAAATATCCTCGCTCCAATCACTGTCACCATCCGTTTTCCACCAGGAACTGTTGTGGACTATGCTTACAATGTCTTCTATCAGGTAAAATTCTTATAGGAAGATGGGGTCACATTGTTTTAACCTCCTTTGCAGACTTTAGTAGTGACGGTCACGTGCTTTGCACGAGTTAGCACGTGACCAATACTAAAGATGTGCTAAGGGGACAGTGGCGGATCTAGGATTTTTCAAAGGGGGGTTCCACTTTGTTTTCGCATTTTCCTAAAACGAACATTTTTACTGTGCCTCTCTTACCGATATATTGTAAGATATTAGCTAGCTTCATCCTTCTCAGATGCAATTGTGTACGATGCGTTTTCATTTTATTTCATTTATTATTTATTTATTTTTATATACATTTTTATGCTCGAGGGGGGTTCCTAGGAACCCATGGAACCCCCTGGATCCGCCACTGGTGGACCACAATTATTATGCAATTGAAGTTATCATTGTGTTGTTGTCTACATATTAGGATCGAAAAATTGCTCACACTCCTTACCACGCCTTGACTATCGCYGAACGTGATTGCTATAACGCGAGACGTCACATGTTGCAGCATTTAGGGGATTTACTGAGGACACAAGTTTTAATGAAAGAAAAAGAGCTGATTGAAAAACAACTTCAGGAAGCTGAGAAAACAGGTATTTCTTATGTGATGATCGTTGTAATAGTTAGCGGTGATGTGATRGTRACATTGATGATGGCTACGACTATGCCTAATCCCCAGGCTTTTTCCATTTCAACMTCACCTGTCGCCGCCTGGGTGCTAGGSTGGATAATGATGATAGTTGATGACAATGCATTAATGATAACGGCAAAGATGGTGGTGCCAATAGGCCTTTTGCATCGATCGTTCACAAAATCCGCCATACTGGAYGGCAATCAAGAATTTATATGGCTATAAAARCGATATAAGTGARCCAAGGAGCGATAWGTTTGTTTTGGAAGGTGCTTACTCTTTATCTTATTAAAGTAAAATAGCTTCYTSTAGGTAGACTAAAGATTATTTTCATAGCCATATGCATACCAATTGCCATCCAGTATAGCGGACTTTGTGTCATGTGACCAATGATAGTGATTACAAAAGAAATAATGTTATATGTTATTGACAAGTAAATGACCTCTACCGCCTGGTTGTATAGATTTAACCGACCCTTCACGCGGTACTAGCCAACATGGTATTCTCAAATCACACGAAAAGACAGCAAAATCCCAGGAAGTCACGGAAACCTTTGAGCATCGCTCGGCGAATGGTTTATTGAGTCGTGTGACCTTCAACCTCGATGCAGACAAGACGGAGTTCTTAGATCTTGACAATGCCGAGGCTGATCGAGAAATCCAGGCGATCATGAATAAGACTCCTGAAACCACAGACCGGCAGGTACATAATTAGTGTATTTCAATAACTATTAATTCATACCCTCACAAGATTTGCGGAGTTGGTAAGGAAGGCGATATCGTCGGACGCAGGCTCGTCCAGAAATCMRTCTAAAGCACTGAATGCATAAAACCTTTTATTTGTTGCATGAAACGTCTTCTCCTGAATAGCCCTTTAAACGAATGGTGGCGTCTAATATTGCAGCGACCAGAATGCTTTGCCTACTTTGTTTTGTAATTCGGCTATTCTCAAGTTTACAATTATCTTGAATGCATAACAGTGGTGTTACCAAGAGCATTCTGGTTGTGGTAAATCACTAATGACGCTAATAATTGAGCAATGACATACCATTTTTGGCAATCTGATCATATGATGTTTTTGCATTGCAGAGAAAAAATAGCCAACAAGAGTTGCTGGCCCAGGCCTATCGATCCTTGAGCATGTCGCCCGGTCGTGACGATAAGTGTGGTCTGAGGATAGCTGTCATGAAGACTGCTGACCACATGACAATATCAGCATTGGCAACCGAGACGCTGAAGATGAGAAGGAAAGTCATGAAAAATCGTTTCCGATACTGTTACGAGTGTGGTCGATCGATAGGTGTTCGACTCTCGGCTTGTACTCGGTGTAAAGAGGTCTTCTATTGCAGCAAGTCGTGTAAATTAAAGGCTTGGAATGCCAGACATCGCGAGGAGTGCGTACGATTAACAGGTGCTTACCATATATGGTGCTTAAAATGCGCGTTAGTTTTCTTTCATAAAAGCGGATATGAAACCTTTCCACCGGCGCTACTGGATACACACATGGAAGTGTACTCCGTTCAAATTACAGGTTTCTCGTTTTATGTATTCAAGCGGCGTTCTCCATCGCTTTTACACTGCTGAACGATTTTCTTAATAGTTTCTCTAACGCTCAAATATATAAACCAGATAAATCTAACCAGGTGAAATATTCTTAGGTGGTTCAAAGCTAAACATACCACAAAGAGACGAAAGCCCCACCCCAACCACAGATCCCGACGCTCCTTCCAAGTCTATTACTCCCTCGCATTCTCATGTTGGAACGAGGAACGCCAGTAAATTAGGCAAACGAACTATTAAAGACACCGCTGATCAAGGGAAAAAGGGCGCATCTGTGACGTCAAGAAATAGCAGCAGACGATCTGTACATCGACCAACAGCCAAAGCTAAATGACCGACTGCTGAATCCTATGACGTCATGATTGGGGCACTGACAATCATGTGATGTGCTTCAGGCAATCACGTGACTATCAATGCAACCCCCACAAAATGAAGCCCAGTGACAGATGCCCAGATAGTTAAAGCGTGAAATAAATAAATTTACTTAGTAAATTGAACAATTACAATTTAATATGCGAATATATATAATAGTTTAGTAGCAAATAAAAGATTTTAATAGTACAAAGTAGTACTGTTTACGTGATTTTCCCCTCTGGAGGACAAAATACACTACAAAGATAAGATGAAATTAGAGAAAGAAGCATGACAATATCTACTATTTCTTTACTTTATTTCACTTCTTCATTTTACATTTTTCAGCTCCCTTTGCCTTCGTAGTCCTGTGTTTTCATATGCAGTATCCCAAGATCGTCATTTTGCTCTTCAGTTCGTTCATACTCTTCGACAGTCAGTTCTGGATCAGGGTCAGGGGCGTAATAGTTCTGAAATTCAAAGAAAACAAAACAAATCGAATTAAACGGCCGTCTATTTAGCAGTGACAACCCATTACTTCGCCAGTTAACTCAGTGCCGAAAACGATGTTTTAAAACCCATCTGGGAATAGGTGTGGATTGAACTCCAGGGGTTGTGGAATAGAGCGGATTTCGTATGAGTGGGACACCGTTACCGCACGGTTACCGCACAGTTACCGGACCTGGCCTTCACAATTTTGGTGAACCAATGAGACACTAGAATTTGGTTACAGTACGATTACGGTCACAGTACAGTACCGTCCGTTTCCCACTCATACGAAATCCGCTCTAAAAAAACGTACAGTATATAAAATAAACTTACCTGTAGATAACTGTTCCCGGCAGGATCGTCAAGGATAATATGAACACCCATTGTTTGGCCAGTGCGTATCTAAATATAGATTTTCATGTTATAACTGAACTAGCTATTACAAGATAATTGACAACTTCTGGAACGTCACTAGTCTTGAATSCCAGCAACTCACGGTTTTAAAATTCACAAGGTTGAAAATACTTCCCATCTTTATTAAAAGTGAAAAAAAATAGAATAACGAAACGAAACGAATAAAATAAGGAATTTAGTAGAAAATAAGAATGGAATTGGATAAGTGCAAAAAAAAAATGAAGACCTTGTTTTACTTGCACTTACTTTTTCAACTTTTTCCAGAAAGGTTTTGAGATTATCAGGATTTGAAGCTTCTGCATCACCCAAACCAAATGGGTTCACACTTCTGAGATGATCTTGTACGCTTGTTAKTAACCCTTCTACTGTGGTGAATTTTCCTCCGAGAGTGGCACCATCTGCTTCGAAGTCAATCTCGGGAATGTTAAAGCTGCATGTTTCAGACTAAATAACAATTTAACTGTGTAAAGCTTTGGAAACAATAAAGTCCCAACATGCTCTCATTTTTCAAAGATTTGTAATATGCTTTGGAATGAAGCCTTTTATTTTTGTTGGAAGAAATTTTGATTAAAATAGTGTCAGGAAAGCACTTACCATCATCACTTTTCGATAACAAAATTATTGATACATAAATAATTATTTGAATTTGTACAATAATGACAGGAAAAATCAAGCAAGCAAGGAAACAAATGAATAAAACATGTAAAATCAACTAAAAACAAAAACAATAGACCCCTTGCATGTGACGTCAAAACAGCTTCATCTGGAGGACAAAACAAAAGATTTTTATCCTCTTGGGAACTAGAATCTATTGTTTTGTCCTCCAGTTGGAGCTGCATTCTCATGAACTGCAAGGGGTCTATACAAACAAATAAACTAGCAAAGATAGAATATTTTCCTCCAGTCTACCTTTAAAATATCTCTGTTAAGGTCCTCAGRATCTGTGATTTTAAAGGTTATTTTTCTTCCTTTTGGTTCAATTCCAGCTTTAAAAAGATAACAACATTTTGGTACACTGCTCGAGCATTTGAACTAATGATCTTTACATAAAAAGATTACCGTATTTACCCATGTATAAGCCGCACTTTTTTTCCAAAAAAATCGTTCCCAAACCGGGGGTATGCCAATAACAAATTAGAAATTTTCAAATGTAATACTTCTAAATCAAAATACTAGTATTATACACTTGCTTGCAAAAAACCCCCTGATTTTTGAGATGTACATAATTATGCCTTTTGTATTTTTCAATGAAAACAAACGATTAAGATGATGCCTATTGAAATTAAACAATAGATTGACAAAAGACACAATCCATACATATCAAACATATAAATATATTTTAAAATCAGTTTGTTATAAAGTATATAAATCCAAGAAAAAGATTTTAAAAGACAATGAACAATGAGCTTACTTCCAGACTTGACTTCATTGGACTTGTATCCACATGTTTCACAATTCATTGACATGATAATGACCTCTTTGAAGTGAGGAATTGCTGTGTTTAATAGTCAAGGATTGTACAGTGATTATAGCAAACAAGTGAGTCTCTAATATCAATCTTTTTATATCTATGTTGAAAGAMATKTTTGTAAAAGGATACCRACCATTTTCATCCTAGTTTCGGATGGTGCTTGGCAACTTGAACAATTTGACTGGAATGTCATAACCTAACCATGTGTTTTGACATTAAAAGTTTAAATGGTTACGTTCAGTATTAGAAAAGGAAAACGTTGCTTAGAATAATTACCGATACACCATCCTAAAACAGACAAATTAAAACAACTATTTACAAACACACCTCGTCCTTTACAGCAAGATCTTCTTTTTCTTCATTATAAGACAAATCAGGGGTTTGACTAGAGCTAAAACCAAGCTTCGCACTCTGTTCTGGTGTTCTTGTATAAAGTTTTGTAGTCATTTTGGGATCATTTTTAGGTGCATGTGGGTTTTCTACAAAGCTGTTTCCACTAATGTCGTCAATGACTACAGTAAACGGTTYTTCAACTGAAAGACACCTCTTCAATTTCTCAAGGAAGGCATCAATTTTGGYAGCAGATTCTGGATCCATGTACTGTTATAGAGAATGACAAACAAAATGAAAAACTATGAAAATATAGGATAAACAAAACTAAACAAAGTAATTTAGATTAACTGGTGAGAAACCCTAAGGATTGATACAAAAACATTGTTGTTATTAGGGCATACCTTTCTCACTGGCTGGTCCTTTTCAAGTCCTTCCACTACTCTGTTTAACAAGCTTTCAACTGTAGTGATTTCTATTTTATTCAATATAAAACAGTCATTATAAAACATATTAAATATTGCTTGCTCTTTTCAAAAGCAGCCTTGTTGGTGGCAATGAGCAAATGAGATTAATAAAGAGAAATCCAACATGACTACTGTCTATAGCATTTATATCTGAATTCTTCAACTTTCTTTTGAAATGCTTACCTCCTTTCTGAGTAAATGCAGGAGCTTCAAACTCAATTTCTGGTATTGAAAATGAAGCTGATTCCTGCTTGACAACTTGTCGATTTAGATCCTGCAMAGAAAAAGAYAAAGACATTTATTGATGTGCTAAACAATGCCATAATAATCCTTCGAAAAGACATGATTGTACACATAGAAAATAGATATTTACATCTGTTGAGGTTACTTTCAATGAAATTCGATTTCCTTTTTGCTGAACTGTTGCTCCAGACTGTATCTCAGTGTTTTTCTCGCCACAATTTTCACATTCAAATGATGATAAAATAACTTCTTTGAAGTAAGGAATCYTGACCAACAGAAGACGAGTTACTCCCTGAAAAATTAGGGCCATAATAATTYAATAATTTAATTTTTGGACTTGTATTGCTTTGATATATAGAAATRAAAGAAAGTTATAGTGCTTACAAAGAGGCAATTCCAGGAGAAAGACCCTTAGGAATAAAATATTCAGACATGTCTTTGTATTGCTTTGGTCCACTCTATATATTATATTATATGGTTAATTATATATTGATTAAAACATCTACTGAGGGCTCTATACCTCCTTTAATTTTTTAAAGTTGTTTGACTGGAGTGGGATGATGTACCAACAAATTTCCAGGGAGATCGTGAAGATGGAGAAGCCAAAGTATTGTGAGGCAGTGAAAACTGCACATCACTGACAATGTATGGCAGTAACCTCCTCTGCAGAACACTTCATATTGAAACCCCTTTTGTTTTTATTTACGAGTTGGGCTTCCTTTCGCAAGACTCGGGGAGACTAAGGACGAGAGAAGAAAGAAGAGGAGTTGTCATTTCTCCTTCCTTTCTCCCCCCCCCCCCCCCCCT